ATGTTTGAGCTCCTTAAAAGAGGATTCTGATTGGCTGTCAATGATTTTAGTGATTATTGTTAGTGATTCCAATGATATCGTTTCTCTGTGTTATCATTTCACTTGTGATGTGGACTTAGCGATTCTCTTGGCGTGATTCTTGTGCGGATTTTTGTATCACGTGAAGACGTGCGATCAGTAGAAGTGAACTAAACTGGAGTAGACTGCACATTTTTACATTATGTTTTGTTTCAGCGGAGCATGACGCCATGTTACGAGCGTTGCAGCATCTGCGGAAGCTTCTCGAGCACAAAGTCCGTATCGTAAGCGTGAAATACTTCGACACTTTCACAATATGGAGCTGTTGAACAGCAGATTGTTCAGTACTCCGAATCTGAATATGTGCTTACAGTCTTGGAAACTACATCATTTATCAGGACTAAATGCCCGTTCGCACCAAGAACAATTACTAGAATGATAACGATATACAGTAGTTTTAAAAATCTGCCTAAATTTAAAAGAATAGTGAAGTCCAAACCACAACTCAGAATCACTTTCAACAATGAATGAACGAAAACATTCACAGCCAATCAGAGTCATTAGACTTTAAAGAGCTCAAGCATTTAAAGCGGCAGATTTGCTCGTAACAAACAGAACGCTATCTTGGCGCGGACGCTAATATAGTTATCGTTATTGTTTTTGGTGTAAATGGGCCTTAAGGCTAATATTATTTCAGCCGTCACAGCTATGATGATGCGTTTCAGCGGATTTCCTCGTGATCAGAATAAAGACGTTTGTCTAAAACACAGTGTTTGGGAAACCTGTTTGGACTCAATCATCATTATTATTTCTGTGATTCTGTTTGAAACAACCTGGATTTGATGTTTCTAAACGAAACATGGCTGGAAGACAGCTGCAGTGCAACGGTCCTCAATGAAACAGCCCCTCCTAACTTTACCTTCATGAGTGTTTGCAGGACTGTTAGGAGAGGTGGAGGTGTAGCTGCTCTATTTAAAGATGTCAGAAATCACACACTTAACGTAACGGGGCGATTTCCATCACAAAGCTGAATTGTTGACTTCCATAGGGCCGCAGCGCTTTGATAGGAACTCACTCTGGTTCCCGTGTGTGTGAATGTGGCCAGTGACCCACAGAACGGACACAACGGAGGGAGAAATAGCATTCGTTCAGCCCGGTCTGTTTCATTCAGCGCCGCCTCGTCCTCTGCTCCGTAATTTAAGGGGCTGAAAGGCTCTTTTGCGCCGCTGAAGATGCTTTGGCCGCGGCAGATGGAGGGAGTTTGGGAGGCTAGCGGGGTGGCGATAGGCTAATTCGAGCAGCGGCGTGCTTTCAAATGCAGAGCAGGAGGCTTTGATGAGTGCGAGGGCCCTTTGTTCCAGACAAGAAGGCATCTGCTGGGCTTTGCCCTCCTCTCTAGGATGAGCCCCTCAAACAATGACGGACAGGGCCAGAGAGTGTCATCGGCGCTGATGAACAGAGCTTGAGTGTGTGTGCGTGTGTGTGTGTGCGTGCGAGTGAGTGTGAGAGTGTATGCGAGTGAGTGTGAGAGTGTGTCTGTGTGTGCGCGAGTGAGTGTGTGTGTGTGTGTGTGTGTATGCGAGTGAGTGTGAGTGTGTGTGAGTGTGTGTGTGAGAGAGTGTGTGTGTGTGTGTGTGCGCGAGTGAGTGTGTGTGTGTGTGTGTGTGTATGCGAGTGAGTGTGAGTGTGTGTGAGTGTGTGTGTGAGAGAGTGTGTGTGTGTGTGTGTGCGCGAGTGAGTGTGTGTGTGTGTGTGTGTGTATGCGAGTGAGTGTGAGTGTGTGTGAGTGTGTGTGTGAGAGAGTGTGTGTGTGTGTGTGTGCGCGAGTGAGTGTGTGTGTGTGTGTGTGTGTATGCGAGTGAGTGTGAGTGTGTGTGAGTGTGTGTGTGAGAGAGTGTGTGTGTGTGTGTGTGCGCGAGTGAGTGTGTGTGTGTGTGTGTGTGTATGCGAGTGAGTGTGAGTGTGTGTGAGTGTGTGTGTGAGAGAGTGTGTGTGTGTGTGTGTGCGCGAGTGAGTGTGTGTGTGTGTGTGTGTGTATGCGAGTGAGTGTGAGTGTGTGTGAGTGTGTGTGTGAGAGAGTGTGTGTGTGTGTGTGTGCGCGAGTGAGTGTGTGTGTGTGTGTGTGTGTATGCGAGTGAGTGTGAGTGTGTGTGAGTGTGTGTGTGAGAGAGTGTGTGTGTGTGTGTGTGCGCGAGTGAGTGTGTGTGTGTGTGTGTGTGTATGCGAGTGAGTGTGAGTGTGTGTGAGTGTGTGTGTGAGAGAGTGTGTGTGTGTGTGTGTGCGCGAGTGAGTGTGTGTGTGTGTGTGTGTGTATGCGAGTGAGTGTGAGTGTGTGTGAGTGTGTGTGTGAGAGAGTGTGTGTGTGTGTGTGTGCGCGAGTGAGTGTGTGTGTGTGTGTGTGTGTATGCGAGTGAGTGTGAGTGTGTGTGAGTGTGTGTGTGAGAGAGTGTGTGTGTGTGTGTGTGCGCGAGTGAGTGTGTGTGTGTGTGTGTGTGTGTATGCGTGTGAGTGTGTGTGTGAGAGAGTGTGTCTGTGTGTGCGCGAGAGAGTGTGTGAGTGTGTATGTGAGTGAGTGTGAGAGTGTGTCTGTGTGTGTGTGTGTGTGCGAGTGTGTGTTATGCGAGTGAGTGTGAGAGTGTGTGTGTGTGTGTGAGAGAGAGAGAGAGAGAGTGTGTGAGTGTGTATGCGAGTGAGTGTGAGAGTGTGTGTGAGTGTGAGTGAGAGAGAGAGAGAGTGTGTGAGTGTGTATGCGAGTGAGTGTGAGAGTGTGTGTGAGTGTGAGTGAGAGAGAGAGAGTGTGTGTGTGTGAGTGTGAGTGTGTAAACACTGGGGAATGTCATGGTGACACAATGGTGAGCTGCAGCAGCAGCAGCAACAAAAAGCGGCAGCTAGGACTAATGGAGAGCAGCTCTCCTCCACGGAGCCTTTGATCTGTGAGAGATTCACTCTCGCTTCAGCAGAACCTCATTCAGGAGCGTCAGACACAAACACAGCACTTCTGCTTTTACTAGGGTGACCATATGTGCCATTTTCCCAGGACGGGTCCTGGCCAGGATTTCTATATTGCCTAAAATATCTAGGTTTTGCCTTTGTTTGCGTGTGCAGACCGATCGGTGTATGACATAAAAATACCTCGAGAGCATTTCGAAAGCATAAGGAAGCGTCTGTATGGTATTTTGATGTCATACACCGATCGGTCTGCACACGCAAACAAAGCCAAAACCTAGATATTTTAGGCAATATAGAAATCCTGGCCAGGACCCGTCCTGGGAAAATGGCACATAAGGTCACCCTAGCTTTTACCAAGTCAGTCTTCACTAGTACTAGTCCTCATATACTGATCAAACCTCTGAGTGTTAAAGTGCTCGTGTGTGATCAAGACATGAACGATTCCTCAGATCACGCGTGTTGCATGTATGTTGTTGTGCTGCTTTACTAAGTGACCAGACTCACAAACACTTTCACTGCTGCACTCCACTAAAATATACTGAAGTATTTTTCCTTCATATTTTCTTAAAATGTCTATTATATAAATACGTAATAAATAAATAAAAATTCTATATGTGTATTATTTTTAGTAATTACTGAGCACCTTATTTTAATACTTTTTTGTTATTGTTATATTGCATATTTCTTTTTCTTGTAATTACGGTTTTGTTTTTAACACTTTGGCAATACTGAATGTACATTGAACACGATGCCAATTAAGTACTTTAAATTTAAACAGATAACTGGTGTACATTTTATAAAAAATACTGTTTCAGTCGCTCAACTTCAAAGTTTTACACTTAATTCACTGTTATTTGCGGTTTCTTTATCATGATTTGTGAAATATACGAGCAGTTTCTGAGTAAATCCTACACCAGATTTTTTCAGTGTATTAATTCTCTTGAGCATTGATATGGATTTTATACAACAGTTCAATAAACAAGAAGTTAATATTAAGAGTATTACGTTTTAGAGACCACATTGCATGTTTTTGCTGTTTCGCCAAAAAAACAAAAACAAATTCCAAACAAAGCCACAGCAACATGAAGGCGTTTCGTTCCTGAATGAATCATCCGTTTAAATGATTCGGTTCAATCGCAATGACTCACTCATTAACAGTGCTTTGCTGCCACCTGCTGGCGGTTTTAATTTCACATTTCTTCTCATGTCTAAATGATCTCAAATATCAGTATTCAACGTTTTATGTTTAAAATATCAAAACATTATCCATGCATTTGTAACGGAGCTGCATTAAACTGTGTAAATACATCTAAATGCTCTTCAGATGCAGCTTCTGTGTTCCCTCTGCATTGCAAAGATTCATTTTGTTGAGAAACTCATAACATGGCTTTACATTAAAAACAACTTACAAGTACATTTTGACAACGTTTTTTGATGAATTAAGAAACCCTGCATCTAAAGAGCAACGATTTATGGACTTTTCACCCCAGCAGCATTTTTTATATTTTTCTGATGTATGAATTTTGTTGATACTGATTTCATGTGCTTGGTAACAGCCCAAATGTCTTATTATTCTAATTGACTGACTAAATGCATTTCAAAGGTAAAAATGCCCATAAAAGGTAACAAATCAATTTAAACTTATTGGAAAAGATTAATTTCTATCACTGCTGTGAACTGACCCGCACACAGAACAACTTTAGCAGTCCACAATAACACAAAATATCGTCTAATTATCCTTAACGATACAATCATCATACCTCATGTCATTTCAAACCAGTGTGACTAACTTTCTTCTGTGGAACAACACAAAATAAGATCTTTCAAAGGAGTTTAAGAATGTTGTACTAAACCGTTTTGACTTCTGAGAACTCTCACGGAGAACAGAGACCGATTACTAACATTCTTCAGAATGCAGTCAGTCATGCAGGTTTGGAGTGACATGAGGGCGAGTAAATGATGACATGTCCTTTTAAGAGCCGGTTTGTGCATGAGGAGCGAGCAGAATGAGCAGTACAGCTCTTGTGTTTCAGGTGATGTTCGCTCTGAATCAGACGCTGCTGCAGCAGGAGAGTCTCCGCGCCGGGGGCCTGCAGGTGCCCTACACCACAGAGCACCTGATCAAGCACTACAACTGTGGAGACCTCCGCTCCATCATCTTCAACCACGACGCCTCGCAGGTACCTCAGAGCTTGATGCACTGATGCTTTACTTTTCAGTTTATTCTCATGAAAAGATTTTTCTGATTTGATTCTTATGAACAGATTTTGTTTTATTTCAATTTATTTAAACGTTTCCATTTTTCGCTGGTTTCTCGCTATGAATAGTAGCTGCCATGACACTAAATACTAAACTATGATTTCAATAATGCATTAGTAAATGTTGAAATGAACATGCTGTAGAAGTGTTGTTCATGCTTAGTTCATGTTAACTAAAGTAGTTAACTAATGTAAAACTAACCTTATTGTAAAGTGTTAACAAATATTTTACTGGAAAACAGGACGAAAATGCAGTGTAAGAAATTGTGCATTCACTGTTTTTAATATTCAGTAATATTACTGAATTACCTGCACTGAATCGATCTGAATAATGACTCTGATTTACAGCTGAATGTGTCCCTGCAGCACAAAAGCAGTGTTGAGTCGCTGGGGGATATTTGTAGCAATAGCCAACAATACATTGTATGGGTCACAATTATACATTTCTCTTTTATGCCAAAAATCATTAGGATATTAAGTAAAGATCATGTTCCATGAAGATATTTAGTAAATGTCCTACCATAAATATATCAAAACTTAATGTTTGATTAGTAATATGCATTGCTAAGAACTTCATTTGAACAACTTTAAAGATGATTTTCTCAATATTTAGATTTTTTTGCACCCTCAGATTCCAGATTTTCAAATATTGTCCGATCCTAACAAACCACACATCAATGTTAAGCTTATTTATTCAGCTTTCAGATGATGCAGATGAAATCAGGCAGTATGTGTTTATTGAACTGTTGTATTAAATCAATATCACATTTGCAAACTCCTTGAATAATTATTCCAATCTGTCACTCTCCTTATGGCGATCTGTGGGCGCACAGAAATGAGAGTTCTCGAGACTCAAAAGTGTGTGCAAATGATACGTTCAGTCATCTGTCATCGCGTTATAAGCGCGGAACCTGCGGGAATGAGTAGAATTATTATTAATAGCCGCAATCCTGCGACTGAAACAAGCCCTGCTCTGTGTTCTCTTCTAATAACCCGACTGTGAATGATGCGAGGCGTTATGTTGTCAGTGAGAAGCTGCAGCCGTGGCGGGGAGGATGTTTGGTGTGCTGGTGTTCTGACAAATAATGCTACCTATCAGATTATGCTACCAACAAATCGTCAGAACACCAGCAGAACAACAACAATGTGCTACATGTTTCTTTTCCCCTCATTTTTTCCAACTGACAGAAATCCGTGACGGAAAACTTTCATCCCGGAGTAGTGTTATGTACATCATACTGCACCACAGTAATATATTTCTGATCATTTCTTTAAGCTAACCCGGACTTATATTTTGACGGGTTGCCATCGGGAACGTGTTTCTGTAGGTCTATGTAAATGATATGAAGATAGTTTTACTCCAATGAACCAATGAAACGCTCATGAAGGGACTCTCGGAGGGATCAGAGCAGTTCTGGAGATGTTGTTCATGTATTTATGTCTTCATGTCTTCATGTGACAGAAGCGTGATCTCTGAAGCAGCTGCAGTTAGCAAGCGCTTTCGGAGTGAGAGTGAATTCTGCTTTGATTGGTCGGACTCGTGAGTCCCAACAAATCAGATGAGCGGTGGGCGGAGACTGCTTTAGGCTACGGTGAGTTCTGACAGGCTGCATCAGAGCCAAATAGCGTGTTTCAAAATTAAGTTATTTTATCGGCAAATCGGTTTTGAAAATGACTGATACCGATAATCATATAAATGCTTAATATCGGCGCCGATAATTGGTCGACCCCTAGCATAAATCTCAATTCTGGAAAATTGACACTTAACACTGGTTTTGTGCTCCAGGGTCACATATGATACATTTTGCAACACTGTTATTATCTTTCCTGTTTCTCACTGTGAAGCTGCTCTGGAAGACTTTGTATTGTATGAAGCGCTATAGAAATCAATGTGGCTGTTTTTCGGATATCGGTCCGTTTTGCGTCCAGGTGCCGAGCTTCAAGAACGCGACGCTGCCGGCGAGCGAGCAGGTGACGGCGCAGGAGATCGAGCGCTACTTCAGACAGGAGCTGATCTACACGCGTAACGAGCGCATGGGCCGCCGCGTCAGAGCGCTGCTGGAGGAGCAGCCCGACAACAGCTTCTTCTTCGCCTTCGGAGCAGGTCAGTCTCCTCGGGACGCTCCCGGATGCTGTGGCTTTGAAGTCTCCTTTGATCTGCATTTTCTCCATCTTCTGTTTCCGCGAGGGCTAGTAGAGTGTGAGCGGCCAGAGGCGGGTCATGTAATGAAACGTGTGGCTCGCGCTCTTTGATGCGGCTCGTTTCTGACCTCGGTATGCAAATATCCGCCGGTTTTTGACTCGTAGCCCGAATGCAAACACTGCTGCTAAAAATAATGGAGGGCTCATTTCACAGAGATTAAAAGAGATTTTGCTCTTTCCAGGAACAAATCTTGACTTTAAAACCCTGAGAAATGGACTTTTTTCCCCAGAAGAAAGTTTGTAGCCTTTGATGAAGCGTCCGTCACAAAGCTTTCCTAGTGATGTCCGCTCTCTGCCGGTTCACCGTGAGGTCATGTGTGGATCAGCGTTAAATGAAACGATGTGGAAATCTGAGTAAAGCTGCTTAGAACAAATGACTCGAGTTATTTTGGTAGCGGCCGCAGCACTTATGCTGTAATTGCAGTTTTGTTCATTTAGAGAAACTGGACTAATGGCCGAAAAACACACGCAATCTGCTCACCGCCACATATTCTGCTTCATTTAACTCCAGATTGAAAACGGAGATTATAAACACCAGGAAACTTGGTTCTGATTGACCTCTCAAACTCTCTCTCTCTCTCGTGTGTGTGTGTGTGTGTGTGTGTGTGTGTTTAATATTCAGTAATATTACTGAATTACCTGCACTGAATCGATCTGAATAATGACTCTGATTTACAGCTGAATGTGTCCCTGCAGCACAAAAGCAGTGTTGAGTCGCTGGGGGATATTTGTAGCAATAGCCAACAATACATTGTATGGGTCACAATTATACATTTCTCTTTTATGCCAAAAATCATTAGGATATTAAGTAAAGATCATGTTCCATGAAGATATTTAGTAAATGTCCTACCATAAATATATCAAAACTTAATGTTTGATTAGTAATATGCATTGCTAAGAACTTCATTTGAACAACTTTAAAGATGATTTTCTCAATATTTAGATTTTTTTGCACCCTCAGATTCCAGATTTTCAAATATTGTCCGATCCTAACAAACCACACATCAATGGAAATCTTATTTATTCAGCTTTCAGATGATGTATAAAGCAAAATCAGGCAGTATGTGTTTATTGAACTGTTGTATTAAATCAATATCACATTTGCAAACTCCTTGAATAATTATTCCAATCTGTCACTCTCCTTATGGCGATCTGTGGGCGCACAGAAATGAGAGTTCTCGAGACTCAAAAGTGTGTGCAAATGATACGTTCAGTCATCTGTCATCGCGTTATAAGCGCGGAACCTGCGGGAATGAGTAGAATTATTATTAATAGCCGCAATCCTGCGACTGAAACAAGCCCTGCTCTGTGTTCTCTGCTAATAACCCGACTGTGAATGATGCGAGGCGTTATGTTGTCAGTGAGAAGCTGCAGCCGTGGCGGGGAGGATGTTTGGTGTGCTGGTGTTCTGACAAATAATGCTACCTATCAGATTATGCTACCAACAAATCGTCAGAACACCAGCAGAACAACAACAATGTGCTACATGTTTCTTTTCCCCTCATTTTTTCCAACTGACAGAAATCCGTGACGGAAAACTTTCATCCCGGAGTAGTGTTATGTACATCATACTGCAGCACAGTAACATATTTCTGATCATTTCTTTAAGCTAACCCGGACTTATATTTTGACGGGTTGCCATCGGGAACGTGTTTCTGTAGGTCTATGTAAATGATATGAAGATAGTTTTACTCCAATGAAACTGTCAAATGCTCATGAAGTGACTCTCGGAGGGATCAGAGCAGTTCTGGAGATGTTGTTCATGTATTTATGTCCTCAT